CGCCCTATAATCCATCAGTGCCAGCACACTACACGTCGGTCGTTCATCCGCACAACTCTCGATCAACGCGTACATTTGCTCTGTTGATCCAGCATACTCCCCGTCACGATTCAACTCCTCGACAATATCGATCAACTGATGCAATTGTTTCGATAATTCCACTCGTTTATCTTCTTCTTTTATCTAAACTTCATCACTATTACATTCACTTCTGCATACACCATTTCAAATAACCTACTATTCAAATTACTTATTGCCATCGAACTGAATGCAAACTACAATTGCATTTCATTATTTGTTTATTTCACAGTCATTTCAATTATTTCAATNTCAAACTACAAATTTTCATTGCTCTAAATCCAATTTCAATAACATCTCAATGAAAACAATCTCAATTTTCGCTTTTCAATTCAATATTCAAAAAATTACAATGGGAATTTGATAACTCCTTGAAAAAGCGTAAAGAAACTGACCGCTCGACACAGTTTCACTGCCTTGGAGAGTAACTGCAAAACGGTATGCCAACTCAACTGCTGCAGATCTTTGCCGTACTTTGCAAGTAAACGTTTCATCGAAATGAACACTTCGGCCATCACCAGTGGTCCTCCCTCCATTCCACACGATAGCGCCGGTATTACGGCACCCGGCTGGCATCGTAACGTCTCAACACGCTACAAAACCAATACAATTGGATTATCATTTATCACATCGCAAATAATCTAAACAAAGTGGATTCCTTTTTGTTCATCTCTACATGATAAAAACCGAAAAAAGATAAAAACTGGAATATAAAAATCGAAATGCAGTAAGTCAGATCACACCTGACTTCCCCACAACGCCACCGATACAGCCGATACCGCGCCCACAACCACGTTCGGTCTCGGGCACAATTTCCCCTTGGCGATAATCTCGATCAAGTAGCCGAGTGCCGTATGACCCGACCTCGACCTCAACAAGTCTCGCATCAGTCCCCATGCCCTCTTACCCAAATGCTTCACCGTTATCACCGTACACAGTGTTGTGACCAGCGTGAATAATTCTCCATCCGGTATGTGCCTATAATAATA